GGGGCGGGGGGCGCCCCCCCCCCCCCCCCCCCGGCCCACTGGGGACCCCCGCTGGTGGCTCCTCCACCGAGCTGCGGGTCCGGGACGCCCCCGACACCTGCCCCTTGTTCCGGCAGAGCCCGGCAGCCCCCCTCCACAGCCTCCGGCTGCACTCCTCCCCGCACCTGTCCTGTTACACCTTCCCCCGAGTCCCGGGACCTCCTGGCCAAGCTCCAGCATGCGCCCATCCTGCATGGGAGTGCCAGGGGCTGGAGCAGGTGGCATTGGGGGGTCCAGGGCATGGGTTTTAAGGGGGTAGAGGGTGCTTGGTAGAAGTAGCGTGCACCATGCGCCCATCTCTACGACCAGGGCGAGAGTGGGGCTGTTTCGCTGGCACTGCTCCGCTCACGTCCCTGGATACTTACCTGGCTGGACTCATTTGAGTCCCGTTTTTGTTTTTAGGGTGAGTGTTTTGTTTTGTTTTTTGGGTTGTTCTCCCGCCCTGGCGGGGGGGCGGGCTAGAAGATCTATTAGGTCCCTTCCGACCCTGAAACTATGAAACTATGAAACTATGACAGGGGTTCACTGCTCGGCAGTCACAGGCTCCCTCAGGGCGGTGGGCACTCGCTGGTGTGCTTTGCTTGATGCCCACCCGTGGCCTCGCTCCTGTTTGTTTTCTTTTTTGTTGTCCCAAGGAATTAATTGATATGTCCCCAGCGACCTGCCTTGTTCAGGGAGGCTCATAGGTTCCAGTCCATGAGCTTTTTTGGAAGTGCGGGCACATCAAATAGGCCTGTGTCACACAGCAGCAGAGAGCAGAGGCTGAAGGGAGAGTGACTGGGTCTCACCAGAGGTTTTCTCCCCTCTCACCAGCAGCCTCCAGCATTTCAGGTCCAGGAAGTCCTGATGCGGAGTTCGTGCCCCTCGCTCTGGTGCTCCATAGCTAACGATGCCCCTTCCTCCAAGCACATGTCCAGTCCCTTTGTGAATGTGAATGTGGCTGAACTCTCAGCATCCACCACGTCTAGGGGCAATGACTCCCATGCTTGATACTTCCACGCTGGATAGAGTTGGCCCATCGTTGCTCCTGCTCATGAGAGGAACAATATCCATTCATCACACAGCCCTAGCAATGGACCAGGGTCGGAGCCTGCCCTTTGCTGCCCTTCCCGGGAGCAGGCTGTCAAGGTCGGAGAGGCGCACGGGTGGAACATTATCTCTGCAGACACATCGGAGCTTGCTGTGACAAAGAAAGTCTCCCTGGGGTGCTGCTAGCAGAGAAAGAAGCTGTTTATTACTTCGAGTGCCTTTAATGGGATCCTGAATGCTGTGTCCAGGATCTCCAAGAAGGCCACATGATTTGGGGAGCCCCACCTGAGACCCCCCACCCCGAAAGGCTTGGTGTCCAGGACGAGCAGAGCACCCACCCTTGGAAAATCAGGCTCAGAGCAAGCTAGGCCTGAAAAGCTGGACACCCCTAGTGTACCAGCACTGGGCCTTGGCCCCTTTAAGCTAGGGACTGGCAGAGCAGGTGCCTGGGAGCAGGTGCTGGAGAGATTGGCCTGCTGGGATATAAAAGGCAGCCTTGGCGCTCATCAAAGGGAGCTGCAGCAAGAGGGAGGAATCCCCTGGCTGGAGGTTGTAGCTGGCAGGTTGCCTCCTGGGGGAGACCTTGGCAGCCGGCTGGGAGTGCCAAGAGGTGAGGCTCTGCACTGCCGGGCACTGCCTATGCCTATGCCTTCCAGACCCAAGGGGGAGGTGGGTGGGACTGGTGTTGTGTTGACCACTTGTTGTACCCTGTGTAGCAGGCTCCTGCCATGCCCAGGGCATCTTGTCGGCTCTGGGGAGCAGGGGCCTCTTCTCTGCCTCCAACCCCGCTTACCGGTGAGAGCTGCCTAGTTCTGTAGGTCCCTGCTGACCCATACACGCTACGTGGCTTCCCCAGTGCTTCTCCCTGCTAGGCACGGACATGTCCCAGAGAGGAGCAGGGAAGCGCTGGCTGCTGCACGCACACCTGGGGTAACGAGATGAAGAGAGGGTTGGTGCCTTTGAGCAAGCAGCCCTGGTGAGCATGATTTGCTGTGGAGGGGGGTTTACTCCTGAGAAGCAGGTGGAGAACTGGGAGTGCAGCCACCGGCTCTGGGACAGGGGGAGGAGGCGACTGTGACTCTCCCCTGGAGCCCGTCTCCCTTTGGACTCCCCTTGTGCACACGGCCTCTGCCACCCCAATTAACCAGGCACAGCCTGAGTGACGTCTCTGCAGCAGTGCCTGCTCCCATGCAGGGGAAGGAAGGAGCTCCATGCCCAGAGCTGCTTCTTGGTGGGTGGCTGTGCCAGGCCCCCCAGTTCAGCCAGGGGGCATGGCTATCCCTGTCCCAGTGTGACTGCTATGTACCATTTGTCCTGGAGAAGCAGCTGGCTGAGCCCTGCTGACAAGTCCTGCTGTGTGCTGAAAGGCAGCATGGAGGTGAAAAAAGCATCCCTACTCCGAGGGCATTTCTCTGCTGCCTCCGAGCCACGCTAGGAAGCACGGCACGCCTGCTCCGGGCATGCCCCTGCCCAAACAGATGGCCCAGCCCGTGGGGGCTTACCCAGTGCTTGTCTGTGAGCCTGCCTGAGACGGTGAGCTCATTGGCGTGGGTCCAGCGCTGCTCTAAGCGGTGCATCACTTCCATTTTGGAGCATGGCAGGTGCACAGCGGGCAGGCCAGGCTTTGCTGCTGTGCTCCTGGCACGGTCCAGGGCAGGGAAGATGTGCCCTAGGCTGCCTGCAGGGTTCAAAACCCCCATGGCACCTATAGAGGAGCAGACGGATCCTCTTGCTCCACCTTGCTGATAACAGCTGACTTCTGCCCACCCCGGAGCACCTGCCACCTCTCTTTGCAGGCAAGGAACTTGGCACTTGTGCAGCAGGAAAGGCCTGGGACGGAGGGGAAGGGGGGGGCTCTCTCGTGCGGTGTGTTGCCCCTGGGAAGACAATCCCAGATCCTACATAGCATCCCAGGCCTGCAGATCCTTGTTATGCAGCAGCCTCTCTTAGGGCCCTGGTCCCCGCTGCAGGGGTGTGCATGGACATGCATTAGGAAGGATGTCCAGGGTGGGAGGACTGTAGAGCATGGTCCAGCTCCTTGCTTTCCTATAGGCTTCAGCATCCTGGGCAAGTCCCTTAGGCCCTTTCTCAGAGGTCTTGATGGGGAGTGAAGCTCTACCAAGCAATTCGACCACAACAGCTGCCACCAGCAAGATGCATGGCCTTGATATTCCCCCCTCCCAGGTTCCTCTCCCAGCTGCTCTGCCTGCGTGTTCCTGTCTCCAGCACGTCTGCCGAGAGCAAGTGGCAGCTTGGCCTCCCTGCTTGGCTTGTGCTGCTTTCTCTCCTGCCTGAAGCAAGCAGCCCGTGTCCGCTCTTTGTGGAAGCGCTGGAGGTCAGGTGCTGTTGTGCGTGACTTGCTGCTCCCTCCCTGCTCCGAGTGCTGCAGTCTGGAGAGAGAGGGAAAAAAAACCCCATTTCCAAAGTTGAGTCACCAGTTGCTTCTGTTTTCCTCACTCCCCGGCACTGCTGCACAGGACAGGCTGCGGAGCTGTGTGTAGCAGCCCCAGAGCGGCTCGAGGACAAGGTGGGGGCAGAGGGGAGAGATCCCAGAGTCCTTAGTTTGTCTGCCCAGCACGTAGGGCTGGCGATTTCATGGTTGCTTTGTGCTGGGAGAATGCAACTGGAGGAGGAGCAGAAAGCACATCTAGAGCATGCCCTGGCCTGGCTGAGGAGAGAACTGGTAAGAGCTTTTCCAGTTTTATAGCCCTACTGCTAACCCTTTCTGTGCTGTGAGAATGAGTGCATCCAGACACGTGTGCATGCCCATACACCTGAAACAAGCATGCAAACATGAAGATTGGCACGCGAGTCTACATGCACCCATTCATGCAAACGGGTTCAGAAATTCTCACATTGGTTTGCCCACAGAAATGGGAGTTCATTCGCAAGTTCAAGTTCATAAGAACACGCACTCGCAAAACCATGTGTCTGTATGCATATACACATGTGCATGCACACACTGAACCACCATTTATGGGGCACTCGAAGTGCCTTATGAGCAAAGAGCTCCATTTTACAAGTGGGAAAACAGGCAATGAGGGATCAGGAGACTTACCCAAGGTCACCTGGTGAGTCTGGTGCCAGGCAGATTTACCTATGTGACAGCCCTGATGCGAGGACCCTTCTTAGCTTCGCAGTCCCCAGAGATTGGTGACTTTTTTTGTGCCAGTGTGTGCCAGGGTAAGAGTGTATGTGCCAGTGGGTGTGTGCATATACATGTGTGTGCACACGCTGAGCTACCATTGATGGGGCATTCAGAGTGCTTTACGTACGGTATATGCTGACTCTTCCCTACAGCCTGGGAAGCTAGAGCAGTGCGACACCAAGCGCACTGGTCGGAAATAGTGGCACATCTACTCCAGGACCTGCTCACTGTCTCTGTGCTGATGTTTGCTCATCAAGCCTGTCTCAGTGGGACGGAGCCAGGTGACCGGAGCCATCAGCCAGCTGGAAAGGCCCAACCATGTGATTGCTCCTATGCCTCATCCTCTGACGCTCAGCGCCAGGAACGGTGTCAAGCCTTACAGTAGGGGCTCAGCTGGTAGGGAGTGAGATCACCCCAATAATCAGGGGTGACAGCAGCCATGTCCTGGCTCCCTCCTGCAAAATGCCAGCGCTCTCCAATGGCCTGAGCCTGCAGTGAGCAGGAAAGCAACGGAGCACCAAGAAGCACCGTGCTGCCTGCTGCATGGGTGGAGGCTGACTGTGACGTGGGATATGCAAGGGCTCAAGGTTGACTGCCCTCCCCTGTTCCAGGTAGACCTTTCCCCCCTGCTGCAATGGAGGGCTGAACATGAGGCCACACGATCACCAAGAAGGGGGAGCCTGGAGTACGGACCACGGGGATCTCGGGCTGCAAGCATGAGGGCAGGGGGCACAGGGAGAAGGGGGCCGGGATTCGTGCTTCAGCTCCGGGCAGCAAGAGAGTGCTACAGCCAAAGGCAGGGAGGCCAGAGGAGGAGAAAAGGCATGTAAACTAGTGGTAGCAGGTGTGAGAGAAGCTGAGAAATAGCTAGACGTGGGGTGGGAGGGAAGGAGGCATGAGCGATGGGGAGTGGGCAAAGAGATGGGGAGAGGGCAATGCGTGGGCTGGAGGAGCAGAAGAGGGGTCCACATCGGGAAGAGGATTAGATGTGCTTTTTGGGGAAAGAGGGCACAGGAGAGCCCGTGCAGGGCCTGGGAATGGGAGGACGAGAGGGAAAGTGGGGCACGGAGGAGTGGGGAAGGGGGAGAGGATGCTGCAGGGCCTGGCTGTCATCATCGGGGTGCCGTGCTGAGGCTGCCTTGGCTGTGGCCCTGCCTGGGAGGTAAAGTTTCCTTGCTGCCTCGTTAGTATTCATAGCTTTCCACCGCAGCCTGCGCGCCAGCAGACACGCGCGTCTCAAGGTGACGCAGAGGTCAGGCCTCCATGAAGGAGAAAACAGCTGAGCGTTTCTGGAGCTCGGGCACAGCCCTGCACAGAGGCAACGATCTGTGTCCGCCCCTGCACTTCCAGTGCCTCCTACTCGGGCACACGAGGATAGACGGCATCTCTGTGTAACAGCACACCCACGACGTGTGCCCCGCCATGCTAAGCCAGGGCATCTCGCTGCTCAGACCCATGTGCTGTCACATGGGCTCTCAGGCCTCTCCGCACCCCTCACCCTGACGCACTGGCCCCAAATCACCCATCTCTGGGGGCTGCGGAGCTAGGAAAGGTCCTGGCATCACAGGTGAATCTGCCTGGCACCAGACTCACCAGGTGACCTTGGGCAAGTCCACTGATCCCTCATTGCCTCAGTTTCCTTACCTGTAAAATGGGGCTTTTTTTCTTCCAGTCTGGCCTGCTGAGATAGCAAGGCCTCTGAGACAGGGATTTGCTCTTCCTCAGTGTCTGTGCAGTACCAGTCTCTGTTGGACTCATCCTGCAGCCATGCAGGGTTAAAAATGGGCTGACTCTCTCAGGCATGCCATCTCCCTGATTTCGCCTCTCTGGTGCACTGAGTTGCTTTCTGCATTCCCCATCCATGTTCACTTGTCCTCTCGCCCTGCGGGCAGGGGCAGCTGATGTTCAGCCTCCGGCCTCTCGCGTTTCAGCCCAGGCGAGCTGCTCAGGTGAGGGGTGCAGCTTCTCTCCGCAAGCAGCTAAATCAGCAGAAGTGCCAGCGTGGGCACCGTTACATCCGCATAAACGCGCCTTACGCTCAGATAGCCTGTTTGCTTATACTGATGATATTTCTGATGGCTGTACTGATATCACACCCTTAATATTAATGCAGCTATGCCTGAGTTCGGCTGGTTCCTTTAGACCAGTGATTTGCAACCTTCTTTTTCATTTGTGGATCTCTTTGGAAACTTTGCATGTAGGTGTGCACCCCTTTGAATTGTAAGAGTAGGTATTCACATACTTTTAATTGACCATAGTCATCTTCCACGGACCCCTTAGACAGTCTTTGGACCCCGCGTGGACCACAGGTTGAAAACCACTGCTGTAGACAGATGAGTTTGGTGAGAGCACTTCTGGTGCAAAGACGCAATCGTCAAACCCAGGCTCCTCTTGAAAGCAGAGGGTCTTTCCCACCTGTCCCTTCATCTTGTATAAAGTTTCTTTTCCCCACCCTTCAATGCATGAGATGTGTTCAGCAACCCTTCACCCCGTGCCCCTTATGTCCCTCCATCTGCAGTCCCTCTCCTCATCCTCGCTGCCCCCTTCACGCAGTTATCTTCACAAATCTAGTTGGCCTAGGACAGCGAACGAGGCAGGAAGAAGTCAAGGGCTGGGGGTGTTCAGAAAGCACCTCTGTGCTTAGACGAGATGGTTCCCTTGCATCAGCTCTGCTGTGCCTGTCCGTCCGCTCTACCAGATCAGGCTCAGGATCCAGGGTATAGTGCGGTGCTAGAGACTCAGCCTGCCTCTATCTTCTTATGTCCCGCTGCAGTCCGAGATGCAGCTCCAGGACCAGCGGCTGCGGGAGAAGCTGCTACAGCTGCATGCCGGCATGCAGGACCTGAAAGCGGAGTGCGCTTACTGGGAGCAGTCAGACCCCAGCAGGGAGCCCGTGAGCACCAGAGCTCGGTCCAGTTCGGAGGACATGGGTGTGCCGGCCCCCACAGACAGCCCAACTTCTCCGCTGAAAGGGGAGACCAGCAGGAGGAACTCCGTCCCCTAGCGCGCCGACAAACAGAATTGATGTTCATCGGGAAATAAACCCGTCTCTCCGGTCAACCCCAGGTAGAAGCTGTGCCTGCTCCTTTCAGGGTCAAACGGATCCTGTATGAACAAGTGGTTTAAAATTCTCGCCACGGATTAGTATTGCTAACGTGTCTGTGCGGCTGTCCGCGCCCCAAGTGGCTGTGGCTGCTTGATCCCATTTCTCTCGGGACACCAAAGCTAGGAAGCCCTGCCTTCTGCAATAAAAGTGTCCCAGACACATGTCTCATGCATGTTTCTTTCCAGCTCCCCATGCACCGCCCAGTGCTACTGCCATGCTCCACTGCAAACCATCACAAGCAAGGTCACCTCTGGCATGGTTTGCTTTGACACCTGGAGTCATATAGATCAGGACACTCCTGTTCCCATTCAGGCTCACTTTACCCTTGAATCAACGGTACTGCTCCTGGAGACCGTGCTAGCAAACCAGAATAAGAGTCTCAAAATCTGGCACTTTGATGAATGCAAAACATCCATCGCAACCACTTCAGTCCCCTGACACTAACACACACCTGTCCTTTTCATAATATCCAGCAGAGAGGCAAGTTCACAACCATCTAAGTGCAAGTTTCATCCCATTCTCCCCGCCTCACTGGGCACGGTATATTTGGCTATAGCTTATTTCCCAGGCTGGATCCATGATACCCCCACGCCCATTTATGTCCAAGGCATTTCAAGAAAAAAATGTCTGGCGGCGTACTTCTCATTGCGTGAAAGGCAGAGTCCCTTGTGTAGCACTCTGCAGGTTTCCGGAGGGAGAGTTCCCCCCCGCTGACGGAGGTTTTCTTTCTGCAAAGAGAGCTTTGTTAGGCAGGTTGTGCTAGATGATGAAACAGCTCCATGTGTGGAAATGACACCGAGCCAAGAAAATGGGACTGCAAACAGCCTTTTATTGTCACCAGGAGCAAGGAGGCTGCTGTTGTCTCGAGGCCCCTCCTCACCCCCTTTGCGAGGACACCTGCTACTGGAGAGCGCTGGGCTGCTGCCAGGAGCGCTCTCAGGCCAAAGGGAGCCCCTTTCACCTGTGCATTAAAAGCTGCTTAGCCCTTGCCATGCAAAACCAATGTAGAAAAATGCTGGAAGGTGGGTGGTTTCCCTAGAGGGAACCTCACTCTGCTAGACATGCAATCCACAGGGCAAAGGACTGATTCCCAAGCCAAAAAAAGGCTTGGCGGGGTGTGGGGGAGTAGTTGAACGCTGCAGCATGCTCGAGCTAGACCATCCCGGGGCTGGCACAAGGAATGGTTTCAAACATCAGCAAGGATCCCTGAAGTTTAATTATCTCCAGCTAACACCAGGCCCCTAGGGAGAGGCGAGAAGCCATGGGGGAAGAGCGGTACCGTGTCGGGCGGAGGCTCTGTAATGCAGAAGGATGCCACTGGCCTTGCTCTATTGTAAAGCAAAGTGGATGCGACAGGACTGTGAGAACCCCATTACTTTTCTGCATTGCGCTGGTTATTTATAAATCAGCATGGGCACGGAGGGCAGTACTTGGGAAGGAGAGACGGACTGAAACACATTCATGATGGTATCTCCTCCCCCGACATGCTGCCTGCACATGCACGCATGCACACACCTGGCATCACCGTTTCGGCTTGGAAACCAGCTGAGAGTGGAGCTAACTTTTCCTTTGTTAAAACAACGCCTCCTGCATCGGTGCTGGGGTCAGGTGAGAGGGTCCTGAGGTCCCTGCCATTATTCTGTAGTACCTGCAGACCCTGCCACCCGCGCTCGTGCCAGCGGGCAGCTGTAGGTGGGTACAGCTTGTTTCATCCCACCCCTCATCGATACCGCAGTCTCCTAGCCTTCCTCCCACCGCGGTTCTTCAACCACACTGCCCTTCCTGCCAGTGGTTTTCTCTCTTCCTCACCACTAGAACAAGGGTCCTAAAACACACCGGCTTCTGTTAGCCTGGAAAGAGGAGAAGCAGGTGCAGGGCATTTCAGTCCAGCAATTTAAAGTGCTGGGACTGGAAAGGAGAAAAAGGGGAAGGAAACCCTTTCATTTCGGATGTTTGCCAGAAACAGAATTAGGTCCTTGCTACAGAAGTCCTGCAAAAAACGCTGTGCTGAGGTTTCTCCGCTCTACTGGGAGCTCCTGCAGACATTGGGAAAGGCCTGTGAACATGCTTACATGTGGGATTTGCTGTGCCAGCAGGTTTCTATGAGTTGCCTTGAAAACCTCTGGGAATAACCTGCTTGAGCCGTAGAGATCCTCCCTGCGCACCTGCACGTGGTAAACCCAGTCTGTCCTGATAACCGCGTGTGCTCAGAGATCAGGCATGTTGTGTGCACAGGCATCAGCATACATGCAAATGGAGCAGCTGCAAAGAGCCTGGCAAGGACTGGATGAATCGTGTCCGAGGAGGAGAAAGTGCAGATCTGCAAGACCGATTCAGAGGGAGCTCCTAACTACTGGATCAGAGAGAAGGGAACCCTTCACCAGCTAGATATTGCAACAGATGCCTGGGCTTCTTTCTAGGAAGTCGTTGGATCGAGAGCAAGTACTTGCAGTGACCTTGGAACACAGCACTAGGAAGGAGCTTGCAATTACCCAGTCAAAGAAATGATAAACACGCTGATTTTTTTTTTTTTTATTTTATTTTTTTTTTTTTTTTAAGCACTGATGTTGCCAGGTTTTCTGCCCCTGGGCCTGGTACCAGCTCACGCAAACTCCTGTTTCGGTTGCATGCTTGAAGCAAGCAAGCAAAGGGAGGAAAGCCTCTTCACAGCAAAGTCCGTTCAGACGCAGCGTGAGTAATTTCACGCGTGTCGAGCACGTGCAACGGGGAGCCTGCGGCAGCCCGGTAGGAAAGCTGCGAACTCTCTGCCCGCTGCGAGCTGGGCCGTGCCGCTGGGACATGACGGTGCGCTATGAAATGCAAAGCCAGCACCCGTCACGTGCCTGCCAGTCTCGTGACGATCACCCCCAGGATGTCACTGGCTGGGGGGGAAGTGTCCTAGTCCAGCTGTCAGACAGCCAAGCACTGGATTTTTCCTTCCCAGGGACAGTGCCACCTGGTGCCAGCCCTCATCAGTCACTGTTCAAAGTGTCGGTTTGGAAAAGCAATTGTAGAATGAGGTGGGGGGGTCTAGCATTGTTCTTACTTCAAACACGCTTGGTTTGTAAGTGAAAAGAAAGGATGTGTGTCCCCCCCATGTTGCATATCCAGTTGGGGATGTGGAAATCCAGCTGCATTTTGTCTGTCTTGCAGTCTGAGAACGTAGCAAAGGCAAATCCACGGAGAGCGCAGAAGGCAAGACACCATCCAGTCCATTCTTCCTGCACGCCTGCTTTGCTAATAGGAGTAAATGAAGCAGCTGAGCCTGCTCTGGCCTGGGTCGCTATTGCTGGGGGAGGGTTACCCCTATGGTTAGCCCCAGGAACTGGGCTGAGCCACGCACCCCCCTGCCAGCTGATGCGGGCAGCAATGGGAGAGCGGACAGATCCCATCACACAGGGGCTCTAGTCTCGGCACGGCCTGTCTGTGCGCGTGGGAGCGCAGCCCAAGGGGTGCTGTCCAAAGCTGTGTGTGGTCTGACTGCTACCAAGGAAATGCCTCTTACCCTGGCCCCGGCGGGTGGCTGAGACGACATCCAATGCTCTGGCCAAACTCTTGAGACTGAATGCTATGGGTCCAGCTCCACGCAGGTGATCACAGCTCAGGGCACAAGGTAAGGCTGGTTTACTTCCTTGGGGCTGAGTTTGTTGCAGGCTCTTTCATAGGCAGGGCAGGTCCCTCCAGCCTTATGCTTCCAGTCTGTTGGTTCACAGGGCAGGGACCTCCAGCCTTATGCTTCCAGTCTGTTGGTTCAAAAACCCAGGCGGTAGCTGCACGAGGGCTGCCGTGTCTGCAGACTGAGTCCTGTTCTGCAGTCGCTTGTGCCAGCATAGCTCCGAGGGAATCCGCTCCAGCGGCATCAGTCGGGGCCTTTCTCCTGCGGGTGCAACCCCCACCCCTTGCACGCAGCAAGGCATTGCATTTCCCCTGGGGTACCCGAGTGCAGCAAGCGGGCTCTTTGCGGGGCTGGCTCGCATCCCTTGTACTGGGCAAGGCATTGCATTTCCCCTGGGGTACCCGAGTGCAGCAAGCGGGCTCTTTGCGGGGCTGGCTCACACCCCTTGCACTGAGCAACACATTGCATTTTACCTGGGGTACCCGAGTGCAGAAAGCAACCTTTTGGAGGGCTGGCTCGCATCCCTTGCACGGAGCAAGGCATTGCATTTCCCCAGGGGTACCTGCGTGCAGCGAGCGGGCTCTTTGCGGGGCTGTCTCGCACCCCTCGCACGGGGCAAGGCCGGCTCACCGCTGCCCGTGCTGCAAGCCGTCCCGCGGGGCGGCCGG